ATGAATCTGCATACTGACTGTGGGCTCTGCATACTGACTGTGGGCACTCTTGTACCTCCCAGCCAGCAAAAAACCAGGTATTCCAGATGCACACCCAGCAGCCTGCTGCACGGTTCTCCCTGGATGCCTTGTGGGTCCTGTGTCATTCATGTGGCTAACTACGTCTGCTTCTCTGGGTGGTTTCATGGCTGCAGGTGTTGTATTGCTTACTACCTCTTAGACACAGAAACCCTTATTCCTCTAGTCTTCACCTTACCTCTGGTTCTTTGGCTCCATTCTTATCACTGGTATTATTTCTGATCTCATAATTGAGCATCCCATTGCTTCCCAATTATTTTATACAGTGGCATACCTTGGTGGTTTTGACAACAATTTAAGACCAGTGAGATGGCACAGAAGCCAAAAGATCTTGCTGCCAAGCCTGGCACCTGAATTTCATTCTGTGGCCCCACATGGTGAAAGGAGGACTCTGATCTCCACCCTGCTTTTCTGACATGCTAGTGTACACCCCCTATACCCCCAAACACACAAATGTGTTAAAATCATAATTTACATAGTACAAGCCCATGCTCTGGTCTGAATGTTTCTTTGACTGAATGCTAAACATCAAGGCATTAGAAAGGGAGGCTCAGGGACATGCTTATGTATTGTTATGACAAAACAAACTACAGTGTCATTTTATAAGGCCACTAATATCATGACCTAATTATGTCTGCTAATAATGTCATGCTGGGAGTTAGGATTTCAGCATAAACATAAACACCCTATGTCATAGAATGAGAGAAGGAGATGTGGGCATTGGGGTGCTCACCAGGAGCCAAGCAGTGAGGTTCCGAATAAGCTCAGGCAGTGAGAAGAGAGGAGAGCAAACCTCGGGGGATTCTCAGAAACACACTTAACTCCTGACATTGCAGACACTGGGTTCATGGTATGAGGTCCAGAGCGAAGCCCAGAGTTCATAAACCTGAACTTGAACCTCAGGAAGGCTAGTGTAAGAATTCATTGATACAACCTGGGGAAAGTCCATGACATAATTGCCTTGAGTGTGTATGTATATGCAAAACAGAATCCAGAAGCCCCATCTGCCAATTTTACCCCTAGTTTTGAGCGGGGGGGGGGGGGGGGGGGGGCTGGGGGGCTCTGACTAGCCTGGATCTCCTGTAATTAAGCTGTGCTGCCTGGCCTCCCCCTTCCAAGTGCATGCTACCACGCCTGGCTTTTTAACATGAATTCTGCTGACTGAACTCAATGACCAAGCCTCAGCCTATTACCCATTATTTTGATGTGGTCCTGGTGACAGTCAATACCTCATGCTCTATTTTATCAGGAAAATAAATGCTTCTGCTGCACCACAGAGTCATGTTAATATTGAAACTGTTTATTCTTTATTAATGCATAGTAGTTGTGTATTTATTATTCCTTTATCTTGGAAACTCTTCTGTATGTGCTACCTTAAGTATACAAGTGATTGTTGTCACGCGTATTTGCCTTAGTGTGATATACAGCTTTTAATGTTATTACTCCACGTCTAGATGCTCTCCTCTACCCATTAGCCACTCTTTCTCCATCCCCTCCTTCACTCCACGGCATGTTCTGTTACTCATTATTCTATTCTCTTCTATGATAGCAATACTTACCAATTTTAAGCATTTGCCACATACCTGGCAGTTTTCCAACTGTGATACGGGTACTATATAAACTAATCGGGTCTTCGTGGAGGAACTTAAAAGACTTTCTCTTATTTTTCTCCCTTCATGAGGCAACCAAAGCACAGAGTATATGACTGACATACTCAGAGTCACACAAGACCTAGATACAGCTTTTAATCAACTTGGTGACACAACCGTCTTCCATTTGTTCCTAATATTTTTATTTGAATTTTATTTCTTCTCCACTAGAGTAAGCTGCTTATATTTAATTCAAGGAGTGGCGAAAGAGGGTCAAGATTCCAAATGCCCTTCTTATCAGGAAAGTTGGGTATTGTCTGCCATGTGTGAAAATGAAATATGGCATGCAATTCAATGAACAAATATTTATTGCAGAGACGGTTCTGTGGGAGAATGGCTTGCATGCAAGTGTGAGGGGTTGAGTATGAAGAGCTAGATGTAAGGCTGTAATTCTGATTTTCTCCAGAAAGAAGATCAGCAGAGACATGAAAATAGCTGGGAGTTTTAGAGTCAGCTACCCTGGTCTATGCTGCCAGGAACAACAAATCCTGTTTCAAAACAAGTGGAAGATAAGGTCAGATACCAGAGGCCATCCTCTGACCTCCACATAGACACCATGACACGCATGCCTGTTCAACCAAAGACACACACAAAAATTCTTTATAACCTTGTATAGGCAAGCTGTAACTTCTCCAAAACGGAACAAGGAGATAAACAGTAAGAGGATAAAAGAAAGCTTTCTAGAGCTTTCCCACTAACTCCTGTAAGTAAAGATTATGCTGCGGAGAGTGCAAGTTTTTAATGCCTATGTTCTCTTCCTCACAACTGACCAGCTCACAACAAAGAGATTCCACGTAGTCTAGACCCTTGACACACTCTCAAGAGAGTTAAGGCACCTTTTACAGTGCCATCTATGAATCTCCAAATTGAATTAAAGGAGGGGCATGCCTATTAGCTATAGGTCATTGAGTAAAATGTCATTTATCTTTCTGGGAGCATAATCCAAAGATCCGTCTCCAGAATCTTTGAAGGCTGATTTCTCAGGGTAATTGAATTCAAGTTTGAACATACTGGTTCTTTACAGGAGAGAAATGGATATTTTGAGTCCCTTGAAAAGACTTTGAATCGTCACTTTTTACCGACAACATTCCTGGTGTATTAGTAATGACAGGGCTAGAGAGAAGGTGAATCCACTAAGTTTCTTCAGTTTTGGTAACACCGGGGACTCCTCTTGTCCTGGACAGTTCATCCATAGGTATGCTCTTCTGAGAGTCCTCAACTGAATTCTGCATTTCACTCAGTGCAAAAGCAAACAGCCAGGAATGCTACAGGACCTTATGCCTAATTACCCTTGTTCTTGGTCTCTTAGAGTCTGCTGCAATCAGAGCATTTCATTTATAAGCCCACAGCTGATGAGCTCTTCACTTGTGACCACAGTTTAGTTTTTCACAGAGGACACTGGACCAGGGAGGCATTCGGCCTGTAGTAGGACAGATGTCCTCAAGTAGGTTAACCTTGCACTCCTGGTTGCTGTCAGTGGCTGTGTATGTGTGACAACAACTGGTTTTACAGGATCAGGAATCCTGTTTGACTGAAGTAAGAAGCCAAAAATAAAGTGAAGATGAAGAGATTAAACAAGTATCTGGGAACAAGGTTTAAAATACATACGTTTTTCATTTTACCAGGAAAGTCAGAGTGTGTGCAAACATACTCCCCCCTCCCCCCCCACCCCGCCCCAAACACACACAGGCACACCTTTCCTTGGTTTCAAAGGTTGTTTCCCTGGGGGCATTCCTCTAGATTTAATAGTTCTTTGGTGAGCAGGATTGAAAGTGGAGTTGGGGGAACTTTCCCAGCATTGACTAGAGACTTCAGAATTGCCAAAGCCAGTTCCCTCCCTGTTTTCCCAAACCACTATGGGCTTGGAGTAGAGATCCTGCACCAGGCCTGTCCAGCTCTGGCCTCCTGACCCAGACAGCTCCCTCCACAAGGGAGAGCAGGGCCAAATCCAGGTCGAGCCGCCCCCAGCCGCGGGGCTGTCTGCCAAGAGTTCGAGGCCACCCCAATCCGGATATGATGAAAGGGAGCCACAGAGAGAGAAGTGTTTGAAGAGTGTAGGAGTGGGGGTGTGAGGGTGAAAGAGACTCACAAGTGGATCCTAAAGTCCTCCCAGAGCGGGGCTGGCCCGAGTGAGCTGGCTGGAGGGAGGGGGCGGAGTGCACGGAGTTAGCGCCGGCTGCGGCAGCCACTGTCGCGGCCACTGCGACGTCTGGCCTGAACCCGGGCGACACGGGACTGGACGTGGTCAGGCCGCCCGGACGCGATGGGGCCGCTACCCGAGCCTTGCTGACTGCCGGCGGCGGGAAGAAGGGGTTCAGATAGGCCCCGTGGGGTGATGCCGAGGTAGGTTGAAGTTGCGCGTGGGGGAGGGGGTTCGGGTCCCCTCCCCTCGGGTCGCTTTGCCTCCAAGGTCCCGACGCGTCCCCTCCCGCCCTGCGCGTCCCGCTCGCACCGTGCCCTTAGCTGCTTTCAAATCCTAACTTCCCCAAGCTGGAGTTGGAGGAGGGACGCGG